CACTCTTTCTCTCTTCATAATATTTCATTCTTTTTTCTTTCTCTTATTCTTACCATCTTGTTGTCTGCTCATTCTAATTTTCCTATTTTTTCCCTTATTTTTCATTTGACTCTNTCTCTCTCTCTCTCTCTCACTTTCGTCCTGATAATTCGTTGGATGTAGGACTGGTCAAATTCATTTATATTATAACATTTTATTTTATCATAAAATATAAAATCTGATCTCAGCGACCTAGATTTGTGAGATTTTTGAATAAAACGACATTCATTCATTCTTTGTATTTCTCTCTCTCTCTCTCTCCTCTCTTAAAACTAAATATAACCTAATATGTTTGCATAATTTATTTGCCTGGTTTATCATGTTATATGTATTGGTGGTTTGATTGAAATTAGTTTTATCTTTGCTTGCAGAGGTGGCTGATAATTTTGTTCTCCATACTCTTTTGTTACGTGTCGACCGAACCGATCTCCATCTGTATAGCGTAAGTAGTTCATGGAGTTAATTGGATTCATACAATTAGAACTTTGCGGCTCGGCGCACTCGAGTTAGATTTGGAATCAAGGTACAGCGGAATTCGCGATTACAAATCACGTCAACTGGAGCGATGAATACCATTTGGAAATCCAATGGAGCGTTAGACGGACTCATCGTATCGTTAAAAATGACATGGCTTTATAAGTGAAAGACGTATCGTGTTTGCCAACCTTTGAAACAGTAGGAGGCTTCAAGGAACTAAGAATTCATCAATATCTTTTATAGAGGCGATGAAAAACATTTCATCCCTTTGCGAAAATAAACATAAAAGACAGAGAGGGTGAACAGTATCATTCCACTTGTTTTTAGAACATTGATGTAAAAGCAAAGCCAATGGCTTTATTGTTATGTAAAACATTGTGTTGGGTAACAGGTAGCCCAATTAGGGAATAGAGATTAATTGACATTCAGTTCCAAGCATAATTCACACTGTTAATACAGTAAGCACGTCAATTATCATTCAATATCGTGTAATTAAGCTCCAATTTTCTGTATATGTTTTCATATTTCTACGCAATAAATCAAAAACGTGCAACTGGCAGATTTAAGGTGTACTTTAATCCTTGCTATTGTTTCAAATGTATTGTTTCTAAACAATACATTTGTGTTTCCAATTTTTTCCTCGTGATTTATTTCCTTGAATAACATCAGATTGTTTTCCAAATTTTATTTCTGCTTTAAATTTTGATATGTCCAAAGGGAAACATATTTAATTTTCAGTAAAAATAAACAACATTCAATGTTTTACGTTCGAAAGATGATGCTAGAAAAACCGTCAATGCATAACGTGCGACTTATTGCAATGCACGATGCCAAGTGTTTGTGGGTATGAAAACTATTTCATTTTTGTCACTTGCCAAGTAACGTTTAATATAATTTTTTTCCAGGAATTGTGGACAGTGCAAAAGGATGCTGGGGCCGTTTTTCAAGGGTCCTGCCTGTGCCGAGACATGCATACTCTCAATTGGCTCGTGGGCACCTGATTGCAACAACCCAAATACTATAAAGGCATACTTGAAACGTCTATATTAAAACCCGATGCAATCATCTCCAACGTCTAGTCGGATTTCCAAACTTAGTCAATGTATTTATTTGTTTGATTAAATTAAATTAACTGAAATGGCAGAAGTCGTTTTTTACAATAACCTTTTTGTTAATTTCTTTTGTACCACTTATATTTTATTTTGCATAAATATAAGTAATTACTCGATTTTTTACATGATTTACTCGGTACATTCAATTGGTTGATGCTCGATTGCAGAAGGAATGACAAAAAAGAAGAAACAAAAGAAAAGAAAAAAAAACAATCAAATTCAGGCAAGAAATCTTTGTAGGAAATTTATCCCAAACATCTGTAAATAGAAGTGATATAAATAAAAATTGAAAAAGGAAAAACGCATGAGAATAAATCTGCTTTAATCCAACTTGACATTACACTTATGGAAAATAATATAACAGATGCACGCGCACAAAATGTGGCATTTTAACATTGTTTTGAAGTCTTTGAGTTAGTAAACCTGTTGCTGATCGTCTCTTATCATTCGGCCTGCTTTCCTTTGAAATGTTGCATAACACAATTATCACAATTACACAGAGTGTAACAGACAGAAGACATACCAAAACAATATATTACGCATACAAACAGTGTGACTGAAAATACTCGCACGTTTAAAAGGAAAAATCAATGGTTGAGATCATTTTTCAATCCGACTCATGCTTTAACATTGAATTTACATGGGAAAAATTCCAATTAAATCGAACGGAGATGGCGCTCTACAATGCAACAACTGATAGACGAAAATTTGGCGGTGCAGTTACAGTATCGTTCAAAAGTATTGATAAATTCGTTTTATAGTTTATTCATGTTTTTTCTTACCTTATTTCTTCAGTTTTTAAAAATATTAGTTGCAAGGCATATTAAGGAACTGTTAAGGCATCAAAATTTGAAACAAAATATTATTTTTGTATAATTTTTATAACAAAAATCGCAACTTGTTTTAGTTGATTATTTCTCTGGATCTATTCAAACCCCAAGTAATTTTGGTTAGGAATTGCGTGGTGGTAACAGATTTAACATAACTTTCTCATCTTGCCGGGAAATGATACTAACTAATATGTTACAGAAGAAAGTTACAAAAAGCATAAACCCCCTCACGCGTCTTCCGTTGGTCATAATTGAGAAAGGTTGATCCTATCAAAATTTTCCTTTCAGTAAATTTCAAATAAGCTCTAATTGTTCAATATGGGATTTTTATTTAAAATAACAAAGTTAGTGACATTTCCTAGCCAGATGAAAAGTTATATTAAATCTGTTACCATCACGCGATTCCTAGCCAAAATTGACTTGGGGTTTGCATAAGACCATTTTTTTGCTAAAGTTAATCGTTTCTGAATGCAATGGAAGGACTATAGAAGTTGGTACATCCTAAGTTATATTCATATGCATACATATAATTGAAACACGATGAATTAGATTGTCGTTTTTTACAACAGTATTTATTTTTACATGTAAAAATGTTTGAAAATAAACGATAACAAAACGGGGACAATTTGGCACCAAGGTATGAAGAATCACCACGTGGTCTATGTGCTTATGACTCGTGCCCAACAGGTATTAACTGATTTTGTACTTTATTTCCTTAAGGTTATAATAAAAATAACAAAACACAAATGAATGTAATAGAGATTTGATTGCTCTTTCTACTGATGTAATCAGATTTACAGTAGGATTAAGATTTTGTGATATACCGGAGCTTTATGGTAGAAAGTTGGTGAAATGTTGAAGTAACACGAAAAGTGAACTATTTGGAATAAAATTGATAATTAGACTATGGACAATAGAGACTTTTTAGTCTTATTTGACATGTAGATCACCAGTAAAATGAAATGAGATGGGGTGAGTGTGTCAATTCACTTGTGTCAATTCACTTTTTGGAAAAGGTAAAAAAGTGACAAAACACCAAAATGAAAAAATTGAACAAAACATATGTAGAACTATCTTTTCCAAGAAGTGTAGATAAACCTCCTGAAGTATTTATGTTTTCACGGGATATTCTGTACAAGTTTGGTGATAAATGTATTCTGGGTTAAATGCGTAGTTTGAAATGTATTTATAAGCGTGATTTCGTGTGTAATACAAGAACGTCGTTGGCGGAATATCACATCAATTGAAAATGTAATTGTTTATATGTAGGGTGATGTAGAAATATCGAGTTCTCATCACCCCACTGGGGCGAATGGGATATAAATATCAAAACAATAGTTCTTTATTTATAATATTTAAGAAAAAGTGAAGGAGTGCAAGTGTTTAGGTTCAAACTGCATGTTGAAATAATCTTCTGTCAATAGCCAACCTTCGGTGTGTGGTAGGAGAGAAGTTGTTTGTCTGGAATGCAAAGATTTTCTTTTATTTCATGTATTAAGCCTTCATGTCAGTCTTCATCAAACGTTTGTGATTGCCATATATGTACGATATATTAATACTTACATTGCGATTTTGATGAACCTTCTCCCAGACACCTTTGTTACCATGTGTGGTGATTAGTGACCGTTAATCGATATTTATTTAGAAATAGTGAGATGCGGTCTGGTGTGATGTAGGTTTCAGAAAAACATTTTCTTTATCGTGCCAACTTTTCGATCTTTATTGAGATCATCTTAAGGGCCTGGGATTTACACGACACGCAAGAATGACACAATTACACAGAAGGCAAACACTTTGAGTGAGTAGAAATACTTTGATTGAATATATAAAATATATTTTGCATTGTATAAATTCACTTTTCCACATCCAAAATGTAATTGTAATATGTAAACAATGTTTGTAAATCCCAGGCCCTGAAGATGATCTCAATAAAGATCGAAACGTTGGTACGATAAAGAAAATGTTTTCTGAAACCTACATCACACCAGACCGCATCTCACTATTTCGAAATAAATTTGTTACCATCTTACATTCAAAGAAAGAAGAAACACGGTTATTACCCAATGCCATTGATCTAGTTGTAGAATTGTAGAATCTTTCACCAACTTACTTGAAAACCCTAATCCACTTAATTTGTAAACGTTCCTATTACGTTTTTCTATCATTGGTGTGTCTATCAAAGCGGCAGATACCCTACAAAGAGTAGGATCTCTCATTTGCAACAACACAATATGTAGTTTGGTCGTTTCTGATCAGTTTGTCTGCCTATTTTCACTGTTTTGGTTTATTAGATGATTTCTTCTCGCCAGTTTTTGTCAGACTAAAACAGAGAAGACAGCCAGACTAAAATGACGGGAAACGACCAAACTACAGGTTCATCTACTAACTCGTAGGCCTTAAGAGAGTATAAGAAAATTTCACGATAGTAAAATATGCTGGGAAAAAATTCGTCCGTCATCCAAATCTTTTGTGCTTAGGTCCTGACGTCAGCATGCTTTTATTAAGGAAATAATAATAAAAACACTTTTGCATTATAATTTATTTAAATTTCACATCGTACATTAAATATTTTAACTACAGCTTTAATTGGTCTTATAAATTATAATTATTTGGTAGCATATTCGACTAGTTGATGTCCCATACTTGTCGTTGGTACAAAAGTTCGTTTCAGTCGATTTTATTGAGGAAAGGTCCGATAGATGAGACGTCCTCACAGTCCGGTATGAGTTTCCCTTTGAATTTAAGGCAAGTGTCAGCACAAAGCTGACCCTCAAAATATGCGCCGAACATTTTCTTGCATTGGGCGCAGTTCCTGATGCAGACACCGACTTGGTTGCTGGTCGCGGTATCCCAGATCATGGAGCTGATGCAGAGAAATGCGACCAAGTATCTTATACCGAGCATGGCTGTATCTGGAAAAAAAATCAACGATTACACTCGCATCCCGATTACATGGACAAATCGCAAACAGTACCTAATCTGAACCTCGATTCAAGCAGTTTCTTACTGGAATGAGAAGATAAAATAAAATATGAACCAGTTACACATTTATTTTTATAAGAATCAAAACGCCCTTGGAGTTTGATTGCGCTAGGGGAAATTTTTTAGAAATTACAGCAATGTCAAGGAAGCGGAAAAGTGTTTGATTGATGTACCGGCCGTTAAGCGGTTCTAACGGGTCTTGTTAAGAGACGGCAGAACAAAGAAAAGGAAACCCAGGAGAGCTTATGCAAAAGGAGTCACCGGGCCTTGATCTTGTTCGAGGATATCCCATGTCCTTCTGCGGGTTCATCGTGCTACCGCTACCTGTTTTCTTCCTTGCGTTTGCCAAACGGGACTTTTTTGGGATCCTTTCGGAATCCCTGTCTAACTAACTATCTTATTCAGTTCCCTTCCTGGTGGCCTACAACAAACCGACGATTTCTATTCTATATTAACGAGTTGGAATGTCTAAACCGAACATTCGTCGAGGAAGTGAATCTGATGAGACACCACTCCCCAAAAATGGTAGATAAGGTTTTGGCAAACTTTAAATTCATAATTAGTGAGCTTTGCATGTTATAAATAAGCAAATAATAATCGTTGATTACCTAGATGTTTTATTAATTACAAACACTTTTTTAACTTGCAATTTGTTTGTTATAATTAATAGCTATTTTTTAGCCAATGGGTCCAGGATGAAGCCATGGCTTGTAAAAAACAAGTAATACTGTAAGGGTTCATCCAAATGAAATGCCATACTATGACAGTTATACTGTTTCTACGTGTTTTTCTGTTGGAAAGTGTATAGAAATCGTTTGTGTGTGTAATTCTTTGATGAATACAAATTAAGTATAACAAATATATATATATATATATATATAAAATAACCGAGAGCTGCTGGAACAACTGATCAAAGGTATGCCAGGACTTTCAAGCGTGTCTGGTAACTATAGATGAATGTTTCACTATAAACGAAAAATATTATTACCTATAATAATAAAATTGACGTTTACCTTATAAATAAAATCTGGTACGTCTGCAAAAGAATATAATTACATATACTTAAATAAAAAAAATTTCAATACATTAAATTGAGAATTGCTAAAGAAGACTCCGTTGTCTTTCCGTTTCCTTCTTTACGAAGATTTATACCATTCCTTGTGCTTCATTAATTCTCTGGATAGGCAGGCCAATCTTGAGTTGAGATGGTTCCTCAAAATTCGTTGTGAGCAAATGCTTTTTGAAATTTTTCACCCTGGAAACCTAATGAAAACAAATTGCGCTCTTTATGCAACTCAAAGGTTAAATGAACATATCTTTCACTTTGTGGCTCAGTGCGCAAATTTACCGGTTTCCTTTTTTGCCTCGAGCGTGCCCCCAGCTTTTCTCGCTTTCAGTTTATCCGGATCCTATTTACCTATTCAAAAATTGGATTGGTGATAACTTTTCAAAAAGAAAACAAAATATGTTTTATTTCTATCTGGCCAAGAAAGGCTAAGGTTTGATTATAATCAATTAAATGTTTGTTAAACATCAGTTAAATATTAAATTCTTATTATTTTATCATTATTCATATTTAGGTATTATTTATGATTCATTTTTTTTTTGTTACTTTTATTCACTTTTCGGGAGTTACTTCCCGACAGACAAATGTTATCAATATGCTTTTAACTGAAATATGTTTGGTATAAGGAGAATTTATGTTCAACTTTCTTTTGTCAAAAGAACAAAATTATTTAGCCGAAATAATCTTTATTAATTTTATGCAACTTTACCGGAGATACACATTCTAGTACGTGTATGGTCCGTTGACAAACTTCTACACGCGATTAAAAATGAAGGTTTAAAAGAAATGCGCAAAGCGTAAATAAGTTGATATTTCAGTTACTTTGTCATGTCGTTAAAAAAGCAAAATATTGCCAATCCTGTAGAATTTAGTTGCAATTTCGGATTTGAAAAGGCTAATTTATAACTCGTTGCACCTAGCATTCTAAGGTAATTAACCTGTCATTTACAATATATGTACTCGCTTCGGCGGTTTTCTCCAACCAGGGATCCATTTTTTATAAATAATATAGCTGTGATATTTCGAGAAAATTTATCTAAAAACTTATAAAGTCACAAAAATCGCAGTTTAGACAAAACATTGCATGACCCAAACTTACCAAACTAATGTGGGGGTATAGCAAGGCTCTTTCCTTTCACCCCCGCTTTTTTACATTTTAATGATTTAGACGAGTGAAGAAGAAGAATTTGACTAAGAAAGTCAACGTAAGATGCTTGTTTGCTGACGATAACGTCTTCTTAGCAAGTGAGCCTCGTACACTAAAAATTTACACTAAAAATGATTAATAGACTACACGATTATTGTCAGTTGTGGAACCTATCTGTTTACTTAGAAAAGTAAAAAAAATGGTGTTGAAAAAGTGGGTAACCAGCGCGCAATGAAAGGTGGTTTATGCTAAAAAAAGATATTGAAGTAGTGTTGCGGCACAAGTATCGGGGACTGACATTGACCTCTCAGATCTCGTACGAATTTCATTTCAATGAAAAGATGACTGCATATAAACTAGCCATAGGTTCAATCTGGATTACTCTCATAAAAATTATCGTGTTCTTTTAAATGTAACATAAAATGTGATCACAGCTGTTTTGTGCTACGGGGCACAAGTATGGGTCTACAGGGCACAGACTGAAGTAGAGAAATTACAAAAATATGTTATAAAAACACTGTTTTCTCTTCCCAGATGTATTTATTTTATTTGGAAACGGATATTTTTTTTATTACACCTTCCGGCTCCACAGTGACTACGAAAATGAAGTGTTGACACAAACACGATCCCCTCATAAAAAATAATTAGCAGATTGTATAGGGAAATCGGCTGGTTCAAGGAAATACATGAACTATGTTCCAAATTCAATTTCAGCGTGGACCTTACCTATGAAAAAGATCGAATCGAAGAAAAAAAAAAGTAATCAGGGAAATGATTTACTAGAAGAAGATAAAGTCAGTTTTTTGGCAAATTTATATAACTGTAGAAGTGCAGCCAAATTCCACGTTGTGTATAAAATGTTAACTGTTCGATTTGGCGGACATATTTACATAAATAATAAAACAGGAGGTATTTTATGGCTACAATATTTAAGATTGAGGGTAAATTATTGTAAATTAATTTCTGACTAAATTAATCAGTGGGTAGACCTTATGATAAGCAGAAGTGTGCTCTGTGCAAATTATTAAAAACAAGTACCTAAAAAAGTACAAGTACTTAACATACTACCGTAAAAATGGGGTTGGGAAGAATTTAATAATTATTTGAATGATAGCAACTGGGGAAATTTAGTCAGTCGCGTGCTGCGATCGTATAACTACGCAAAAACTTTAATTGAAGAATTTAACAGTACTTAAAGCTAAATTTTACGAAGCGTAAAGTAACAAGGTTTGTCACATTTATAATGCGATTATTGCCAACGGAACGGCAGTTATCCAGGGTTATTGCTTCCCTACAATGTCTCCTGTACCTTTGGAAGCAGCAATGTCTGGAATTTTTCGACCTGTCACCTAGGAGAAATTTTATTATATCGAACGGTCTCGTTCACAATCCAAGGAAAACGGGAGTCGGTTCAGGGCCGGACCTAACTCGTGGCATAAGCGTGCCTCGACATTTGCGCAAAAATCGAGCATATGGTGACCCTTAATTTAGAAAACCATCAACAATTTTGTATTTTATATTTATGATTTAGATCGACAAACAGAGTTCAACATTTGTTAGGGATTCAATCAAAATATGACCATTAGACTCATATTTCTTTTACAAAAAGAAAGACATTCTCAAACGATATTGCATTTCTGATCAAAAAGCTGCTCCCATTACCTTTTGATGTCTGACACACTTTACCACATGGCATAATAGTTTACAAAATGATCCATTAACAATATAGTGATTATTGTTTGATAGCTAGAGCATACTGTACCAACGTAAATTTCTTAAAAACTATGTTTCATTGTATAATTACGCGACAAAAAGCCAATTTATTTTTATTATTATTGTAATTTAGCTTATTTTATATGCTAAGGCAGATAAGAACAACATACAAAAATTTACAAATGGACGACCAAATGGAGAATAAAGCTGAATTAAAAAAAAAATCGGTACATGGGGTCTTCACCATCTGCGTAAGTCAGTACATACCAGCCTACTTTAATAGTTTTTTTTTTAATTGTAAAAACTTTAGTTTTGGTATGACAACAACTACACGCTTGCTGTGCACGTAGAAAACCTGTTAGACGTCAAACACCTAGCCAGACGACTCAAACGCTTCAAGGTACTTGATTTGTTGCTGGTACAGTAATGTGGGGAAAGTGTGATTTAAGAACAGAAAAAAATTATAGTTACTAGAAAATGATTACTTCTTAACTATGTAAAAAAAATATAAAAAAATAAAAAGATAAACTAGGATAGGCTTACTCAACTTCAGCCATATAGTAGACATATTGGCAAAACAACGAAGGAACTGGATCGGGTGTTTTTTGTACAATTTTATCATAAAAACAAAACCATGCCACAAACAAACGAGGGGATTAAACACATTGATATAAAAACAATTTTGAAAATCACTAACACAATCGGAAAACTGATAAAACAAAAAGTTACTAAAATCAACCCACTGGACAAAAGTGGCGTGTACACCATAAAATGCGAATGTAGAGACAAATACATTTGAAAGATCGGACAAAAATTAAAACACACATACAAAGAACATGGAACATCTTTTAGGGCCAAGACGGAAAATGTAACTATAAAAAGTGCGAAAAAGTAATCAGGCCGGAAGATCACACCAAAGAAACTCACAATTTATATCATTTTCTGCACGAAATATAAATCATTTTAACGAAATTAAATTATATGAAATGGAAAATAAAAAATCAAGAAAAAAAATAACTTTTTGTAAAATGAAATATTGTGTATAATATTTGTATACTTGTCATCTTTTTGTCTTCACATACTCGAAACAAACTCCAACGTAAGAAAATTAAAATAAACAGAGGAAGAGAAGAGAATAGATAGAAAGTTGATGAAAAAATTAAATGGGTGAGCGATACATGGATATACAAATCTAGGTAGACCAACAAATTGATAGATTGACATAGAAAGAGAGAGTGAGAGAGGGAGAGAGAGCGAGTAAGAGAGAGAGGAAGGGAGGGAGAGAGAGAGAGAGAGAGCAACAAATTGATAGATTGACATAGAAAGAGAGAGTGAGAGAGGGAGAGAGAGCGAGTAAGAGAGAGAGGAAGGGAGGGAGAGAGAGAGAGAGAGTGAGAGGGTAGTGAAAGTGAATAGAATATATACATATAGAATATAGAGAGCGAAAGACAGATGGAAGGAAAGAAAAAATGTTGATATAATGGTAGATAGATATGTAGAGAAAGAGGGTGTGAGAGTGAGACGTTCTTAGAGAGATATAGACTATGCAAGACAAGGAAGGAAAGAGAAAAAGTTAATGAGCAAGGGGGTGAAAAGGGTGTATAGATAGATTGGTAAGTAGACATAAAGATAGGTAGATAAGTAGTATAACAGCAAGAGAGAAATGTAGATAGATAGATAGGTAGTGAGAGAGAGGGGAGAGAGAACATAGTGAACGTTACGAAAATGACAGAGAAATGTAGACAGATGGATGGAGAGAGAGAATTTTGTACCAAAACAGCAATGCAATGATAGATGACCTATTTTTAATTCATAAAATACTTGTATATACTTTTAACTTCGTTGCTGTAGGCATTGTGATTCCTATATGACTATATCAAACGTGTACTTTGTTCATTAATGAACTGTTTATTAAATTGTTCTTGGTTATCGGTCTTCTTACTTTTGGCTTAAATTAGGTTTTTATCTGTGACTAACTCTTCTGTGATTCTCAACTGAAAACCCCATAGTCACAGATTGATTCAAATAGAACCGGATCAAGGACAGTTGCGGTACGCTTCTTGCAATAATTTTGGAGCACTCACCAGGTTGTCTTTGAGCGGTCGTCGGTAAAACACTGGCCGGCTCTGGATTGCGAAGTGTTCCTGGACAAAGTGAATCACCTTGGGCGAGCAGAGCAGGAAACTGTTGCCGCGGGAGAGGCGTCGCCTCCCTTTTGTACCCGGCTTTCCCAGCGTGAAGTCTCCTTTTCTGCCCCCAACTGGCATCCTTTCAGTCTGTACTTCCTCGCGACTAATCTCATAATATTCCTCGCCTCTGGGCTTTCTTTTAGCCAAGAGTGTTTTCCTAATTTTACATGGACAACAAATTTCCGTTGGTTTGTGTGATCGATAAGAACCGACTTCAACTTCTTTATCGTTTAAATAAGCTAAACTTCTAAATGTTTTGGCCAGGGGATCCCCTTTCAAAGAACAAAATCCAGGGCGGACCTCTCGCATTCAAATATTTAATATTAGATAATTACAGTATATTTAATAAATTAAAGTTTTATAAATTAGCCAGTCCATTCCTAATCAGGTGACGGAGAGGGTTATCATTATGAAAACAAACATTAGATTGGCATACTTAACTTTATTTACAAACGGAAAACATAAATCAAATTGGACAGAACGGAATCAGTAGGTATGTAAAACTGGACCAAAATCAAAAGTAATAATTTGAACATTAATGATTATTGATGAGATCATGGGATAAATATCACACATTAATGATTAAATGAGGGGGCGTCGGTGGCCGCAAGGTTTAGTCTTTGACACGGCGGTCATCACTGTAAGATAAAGGTCCCGGGATCGAATCCAGCGGCCATGCATTCGAACCCGACATACTTACAAATTGGATTTTTTTCAAAAACACCGGCACCTTGAGGGTTTATAATATAAACATATCATATTATGACCTCTGCTGTTGCGAACCCTCGTAAAAAAAATAAATAAAAAAAAATTAATGATTAATGAATTAATAGGAAGAGTGAGGTTGTTTAGCCTGCACATATTCGATATGTTGAGTTTAATTTTTGATTTCTGGAGACGAATGTAGCATTCAGCATCTACACAGCTTCGGAATTTACTTATGGTGGCTGTTTGGATAGAAAATCCGGATTCACATAGGTAAGTTTTGGCAAATGGAAGAAGAACAAGTTTTGCTTTTTCATCGAGCGGTTGAAATTGTTGTATTCCAGACGCTTTAAAAAATGGGGAACTTAAGGGTTGGAATCGAACGCAAATTTTCGGGTCGAGTCTATAGTAATGTCTTTCAAACATTCAAATTCACTTGAAGATAGACTGGTCGAAATTGAAAACGGTTTGACCACCCATTTAATGGTCTTGCAGCATTGTATCTCAAGCTGTTGGTACCTAGTGCTCAAAGTAGATCACCCAACTTCGTAGGTGTTCATATATTTCATCAATCAACGTGCCGCTGGAAAGATCCAGGCTGTTTCCTTTTAAAAACTCATTTAACACAGTAAAACACTCCAACTTCTTCTCAACAGATTCAACCCAAAACTGGATTTTTCTTTTGAAGGCGTGAACATTCATCTCATTCATTGAAAATATCTGATAAATACGACAGAAGACGTTGCCATTTCTCGTCATTGAAATCGTTGGCCAATTTGACATTGTGGTCTATCAACAAAGATTCGAAAGTACTTTCCCACGTGCCTTCCACCTAACCTCTTTATGGAGAAGCAGGAAATGACGAAGGCTTCCCATATTGTCATATAGTATTGTGAAAAGTTTGACTTCAACGGCCACGACTTGATATAATTATCAATTTGAATATACTTGTCCAAAACTTTCTTGAAAAAAGCTGGCATTTGTTTCATAGCTAAAGCAAGTCTGGGGAGAACACAATGCCTGCTGTTGCAAAATAAAAAGCTATTTTCAGTACTCATTGTTATTAGTTCTTTAATTTCATTTATTCATTCTATGTTTATTTTATAATTATTAATTTTTACAGAAGTTCGCCGCAGACCCCCTAGTTAGGGTCGGCGGACCACAGTTTGGGAAGCCCCAATCTAACCATTACAACAAACATCCAGACATTATATCTAAAATTGGTCAGAAAGGTTATTGAGAAATACGTACCCGGGCCCAGAACCGTATTGTTTTATGAAAGGGCATCCTGAACACACATTTTCTTTAATCTCGATCAACGGAAATTGAGCAGACTTGTCATAACATTGATCAAATGTCTGTTGAAATTAGGGGTAATAGTACACAGCGCGTAAATGCGCAGTTTTGTGAATGCCCCATGACTTATTTTTATTAAATTTTGAACCCCGAATATTTTTGATAATATAAGAGAAAATTGGCTTCTTTCATGAAAGAGAATTCCTATTAATACATTAAATCCATTAATATAAGTTTTTGTAAATATGTATTTTCAAATTATAATAAAAAAGCTGATACTAATTACATCAGATATATTACATTATATATTGTGGTGATTAGTGACCGTTAATCGATAATTATTTAGAAATCGTGAGAAGCGGTCTGGTGTGATGGAGGTTTCAGAAAAACATTTTCTTTATCGTGCCAACGTTTCGATCTTTATTGAGATCATCTTCAGGGCCTGGGATTTACAAACATAGTTTATATATGACAATTACATTTTGGATGTGGAAAAGCGAATTTATACAATGCAAAATATATTTTATATATTCAATCAAAGTATTTCTACTCACTCAAAGAGTTTGTCTTCTGTGTAGAAATATTTTGATTGAATATATAAAATATATTTTGCATTGTATAAATTCACTTTTCCACATCCAAAATGTAATTGTAATATATAAACAATGTTTGTAAATCCCAGGCCCTGAAGATGATCTCAATAAAGATTGAAACGTTGGCACGATAAAGAAAATGTTTTTCTGAAACCTACATCACACCAGAATACATTATATACTTATAAATATTATATATCTCATTATATACTTATAAATCTCAGCGAAGAAATGGAGATCAAAATGACTGGGAACGTCCAAATTTCAGGTTCATAACCCCGTAGACATTTTGCAATTAAATTAAACGCCACGGAACTTGGTAAAAAAAAGTAAAAAGGCTTGACGGAGAAAATGAGTGCGATGATCACGGTTGAATTCACTTTTAACTTGTTTTTCAATCATGTTTGGTCAGAAGATTTATCATTGTAAATCATCGGTTACAAATCATCTATCATAATTTCTATGGCAGACAATAATTTTGGGAAAGAGGAAGTACTGGCCTATTGCAAGATTGGAGTCAACGTAATATATCACATGTGTGCAAAGATAAGGGCAATAAAATTAGATAAATGGATCGAAAGGAGAGAGCGAGCGGGAGAGAGAGAGAGAGAGAGAGAGAGAGAGAGAGAGAGAGAGAGAGAGAAGAGAGAGAGAGAAAGAAAGCGAGAGAGAGAGCGAAAGAGAGAGAGAGAGAGAGAGAGAGAGAGAGAGAGAGAGAGAGAGAGAGAGAGAGAGAGAGAGAGAGAGCGAATGAGAGAGAGAGAGAGAGCGAATGAGAGAGTGAGAGAGAGAGAGAGAGCGTGTGTGTGTGTGTGTGTTTGATCATTTCAATTTAAAATATTTAAAAAATGGAGATTCTTTCCAAAGCTACTGTTGAAAGGAAATCGAGTTTACGGTACTGTTGTCCTTTTTTACATCACGTTGTTTAGTTATCTTATCCGTTTCTTATGCATACATGACCTTAACTGGTGTAGACTGGTAGAACGACTTTATTATCTATTGATATGCTGTCAATTCACATAATCATCGAACAATCGACCTTATGCACATTGGCCGAGCTACATATTTTGATCTTCGATTAAACTTTCTTTTAATATATACATTTTTTTTTTTTAATAGTACAAAAACATAATAGAACCAACTTCATTCATCTACTTTTATAACTCACTGTTAAATTATTCACCTGTTATTAATTTTTTAATTTCGTTTTCGGATTTTATGTAACTATTACCATCGCGTACATATTATTAAAATATATTCCCAGTTTATTCTTGTTATTTTAGGTAGATTTTATTTTGAACTGGACCGCATTCTCTCGGGATTTAGATTAACTGACGAGGAGCGGAAATCTCCGAGAGAATGCGGTTGTTACCTCAGTTAATGTACGGCAGTCATCATCATCACGATATCTCGGTTTTACAACTTTAGGCTTATTTTACGCAAATCTTAAGTGTTATTAACACATCTGCTCACAAGTGTGCAGAAGTTGAGATAAATAACATAATAGCAGGTACGTAATTCTGTCCGACTTTTCAATCAATTTTTGTTTAAATTTTATAGTTAACTGGCTGATCAAAGTCTGGCTTCTTAAAATTTTCTAGAAGCAGTTTTTGCTTTCATTTTTTTTATTTCTGTACAACTAGCAATTCATGATGAGGTCAGAATGAGAGTTATTCTAAAGATATTTTTTCATGCAAAGTGTGGTTGAGTCGAAAAATTAGTATCACGAGCGGAACTCGAAACCCGGATGTCCTGGGTTCGAGTTCTGCTGGTGTCACTAATTTTACAAATCAACCATACTTCGCACTTAAAAATAATTAATTAATAAAAATAGACACTTTGGCTAATAGGACGAAAAAAAAAATATTTAGATAAAGAAAAACAGTCTACTAACTTAAAATTTAATTACGCAATCAATTTTTGGTTATTTTTGTTTTACATTTGACTAGCTGGTCAAAAGTCTGGCCGCTCAAAATTTTTTAGAAGCGGATTTTGCTCAAAGTTGTTTATTTTTACACATCCAGCAATTAAAGTGAAATTGTGAGATTAAAACGAGATTTATCTAAAAGGTGTTCTGTCCAGAAAAACGGTCTAACACCTGCTAAAATATTTATGAACTGATAAATAAATTTGCATACATTTCTGCGATAAAAGAGTGAAGTTGGTGTTTTTTCGTTGCCAACTTTTTTGACACATTGGTACCGCAACAAAAATGATACATCGTTCTTACAAAGAGTTCCACGAACGTAGGATTTCCGCTTTTTATGAAACATTTTTTATACTAGATTTAAAAATATATACTTAGCTGAAAAATATTAGTCACGTTTTATATGGGGCAAAGTAAATATTTTTAAATATCCTTTATATTTCATGGTCCGATTGACCAAATAACTTCTTTCAATTAATTAATCTTTATGTAAGGTATTGGTTGAAATGAAAAGTTGAAAATTCAACCAATACCTTACATAAAGATTAATTAATTG